CCCACAGAGAAGTGTACCCACACCTTTGTCTATTTCAAACCCATGGAAAGCAAAAGGGCAAGCCGAAAAGCAAGACAGGAAAGGACATGGAATCAACGAGATCCCGAGGTGTAAAACGTGGGACAGAATTTCAGGGAAAAAAAAAATCACCCCAATTTTCTGCTTTCCTACTAACCTCCGGGATGCCCAATCTGATGATGCGCTCCAGTTTAAATGCCTTTCTCTTTCCCTCTCGTCGATTCGTCGACTTGTGTGTCTAGAGCATAGGGTGGGGGCGGTCTTTCGATATATCGCTTCGAATACAGAGCCTATTTATCCCCACAACAAAACAAAACTCGCAACACGCCACTTTTACGTGACATGTGAAGAGATCCGTTGGGTGAGGATAAATTTCAAGACATGGTATCTCGCCTTGTGCTCCACCTTGCGTAGCGAAATCGGGAAGGGATGGAATGTAAGGGGAACGGGATCGAAGGGTAGAAGTGCTCTTTCATATGGTGTTGAAATCTAATGTGAAGTGGGAAGACGATGGAAAGGGAGAGAAATAAAATCGCCAATTACATTTCTTTTTCACGGGTATATTGGCTCTAAATTAAGAGTTAGTTGAGTTGAATTCCATTCTTCGAGCTTATTATGTGAAGTCGTTCGCTGATTTGGGTGTGGAAGAGAGAAGAAAAAGGGAAACGGGACAAAGTGTTGAACACATATCATTGGGTGTCTACAAGCGTAGGTAGCGCTACGAGAATATCCCTTTTTTTGGTGGACTCCGAAACGCGTCGATTGGCCGCATGCTTTCTGCCATATTGGATAATACTCTGTCCATGCCCTCAAGATCCAACTCTCCCCTCCTTAGCATAAATTGGTCATTTTCAACAGAAGCGTTTGGATTTCCTTGGACGGTAGATTCGGATATAACATGTCCTGATCTCGACGGTTTTGGTGTTAGTATGACGAGCTGATGCTCTGCCGTTATTAAAACATCGGGAATAACGGGTTTGCTGTCCTCTTTATCAACAGTGGAGGAAGTATTTGCGAGTTGAGTGATTCCATTTTGATTTTCCCCCAGGAGATTGAGATTCCCAATTGGAATTTGTTTGCAGCTACTCGAAGAATTGAATGGACCGGTGGGTTTTGTGGTATTTCGCCATAGCGATAACAAACTGGGAATTCGGATATTCTGAGAACCATGCCATATGAGAATCGATTCATCAGGGAGTCCATCCTTTGAAATTTTAGTAGTTGTTACCGAAATTCTACCTCTCGTTGAGGAAGTTGATGGGGTGTTCACAGGAGAACCTTTGAAGAGTGTGTCTTCTCGGACGCGTCTGGTAGACGGGGTCATGGGTGTGAAACTGGATCGGGGATCTGTTATTGGTCCAAATATAAGAGGTTTTGAGGATGATACAGGACCGGATATTAAGCCAGAGACTGTGAAAGATGACAATGAACCACCGCTAGTAAACGAAGCACTTTGGTCATGCGAAGTGCTAGTATGGTCCTTACTCCGAGGGCCTGCTCCCTCGGGGTCCCAGATACCCCACGATCCATCGGATAGAAGAACCATGATGGCCTTTCCACCGAGAACCCATGCCGCATCCACTACGGTTTTCCGTTGGGGGATGCCGACAGGGTTACGGCAAAACTCCGGAGAAAGGGTGATTAACCAAGCCCCATCAGCTTCTTTAAGATCGGTATCACTGGATGACCCACGTGCGTCAATAGTTGGTTTACGAGATGGTGACGTCAAGCATGAATAAATTTTAACACTGGCACTGGCGAATGATACAAGTAGATGAGAGTGGCGGTCTGAGGGATATTGGCAAGGGTTGAATGAAATAGTCTTTGCTGGAGATGGCAGTAGCAGTTGTTGTATTGGGAAAGTAGGTTCGGATGGTAGAATCAAGGAAACCTTGAGCTGGCCGGGCTGGTAAGCGATAGGAATTCGATATATTGAAAGGGTACCAGATCCTTCAGCGGAATGTATAGCTACTAGGAGATCCCAGGCGTTATCGGGTTCAGAATCGGCGAAGCCTTTAGGAGCGCGGTTTCGGCTTTGAGGTTTGAACCTATTACCGCTTTCACCCGGTTTTCGCGCCGTGACAGTCACGGCAACACCAGATGGAGTGGCTTGAATGGACCCAGTGCTGATTGTAAAAGTTTGAAGACCCCACGACGACTTATCTTCAGGGTTTTTAGGAGGTGTTAGGGGTATTGTGAAGACTCGGATAGAACAGTCGGAGCAAGCCGCTGCAAAGACAGCAGTATTAGAAAATATCTGCGGATACGACTCAAGTGTTGATCGGAGTTGTTCTGAAGAAAATGTTGGGACTGCCAACCCCAGAACCTTTACCCCAAGTTGTATGTCAATATGGCGCAGTATGTCATGAAACGGTCGCGACGGATCGAGCTCGTCACTGGTTCGGATTCGAATTCCACTGATTGAGTATTAAAACCCTTAGCGTGA